CCAGTAGGTTTAAGTGCTGGCACATAATTACTTTTCTAACAGAGGCAAAAAGATCTCTCCTGAAATCTGATTTACATAATGAATCTGTTCCACCAAGCCCCTCCCCCCACAAGCCACCGACAACTTAGCCTGGACCATTCAGGGAGTCGGAAGCCTCTGAGTGCCGGGGTGGTTCTCATCCAACCCGGTTCTCCCTGCTCACAGCAGCCCAAGGCTTTGACACACTGCCCCAGAAGGGTCTCCACCCACGAAATGGCTCAGACCATACCAAGGTCAGAAAGCAGAGACAGGCACCAAGAACATTCTAGATGGGCTTTGGCACAAACAGGGAAACTTATAAAAGGAGTGAACAGTGAAAAGATCATAAATGCAACATTCATGTTTATGCACGACCAATAAAGGCCAGTCACATTAGCTAAGGGACAGTGTGGCTCCAATTATGAGGAAAGGGAACTAGATTTGTAACCCCTGCACTCAGAAACCTGAAGAGGGGTGCGGGAAGATCCAGATCAAAGTAGTAATAGCAGTTCTCTATGGCAAGGGCGGGGTGGAATTGTACCTTTTATTGCTTACATTTTACATTACTTGTATTTTCCGAATAAAGATGTATCTGGGAATTACTTCCAGAATTAAAATTGAAGTTAAAAATAATCTTTAAGAAAAATTCACACACACACACACACACACACAAAGATTTACAATAGAATTTCTTTTTCATGCTGAGCTCCTATGCATTTAGAATGATCCAGTTTAAAAAATAATAAAATGATTCTGTTTAAAGAGATGAAACTTAACCGTTTTATATCCTATGACAGGAAAGAGCGAGTCCTTGGTCTCACAGGCAGAGAGAGGAATATGAAGACCTGCACATCATTGCACACTAAGAACTGCTCAGGGCTTTGCCATCTGGCAATGCAGCCATGGTTGGGATCCCTAGGATGAGGATCAAGTTGGCCAGAATCTTTGTGATGGCTCTATCTTAATTTTCGAAAGAGCTAATTGTAAAGACACGATGGTGGTCTTCTCAGATCAGGTGGCCACAAGCCAGAGTGAGATCAAAGAACGTTGACTATCAGGCAGAAATGTTGGAGATTCTTGGAAGGTCCCCATGTCTATATCTAACTGTGTCTATAGGATTCTATTCAAAGATCTATGTTGGTGTTTCATTAGGGTCCCTTTAGGACACTTTTAAAACAGATTTTTTTTTTCTGTCCTAATCTCAATCTCTAACCCCCAGTGAAATTTTAATGACACATTTTGCTAAAAATGATAGGTAGCACTCTTTTTAATGGCTGGATAATATTCCATTGTATATATACACACCACATTTTCTCTATCCAGTCATCTGCTGGTGGGCATCTAGTTTGATTCCATATCTTGATTATTGCAAGTATGCACAATTACCTTGTGTTGATTAAAAGTAGAAAAACAAATATTTGAAAAGCTGGAAATGCTAACTACCCAGATTTGATCATAACATGTTGTATACATACATTGAATTATCACACTGTACCCCATAAATAGATAGGTATGATTAAAATGATACTAATTAATAAAAAAGTAAGTAAATAAAAGTATGTTTAAAATTTAATGACACAGATCAACTCTATCTGACCTGTTTTATACTCTAGCTCTTCAGGGGACCACAAACTACAGTAACATCCGGGTCTTCTGCCTCTCCCAAGAACCAATTTTTGCCCCCGGAAGAGGTGATTTCACCTTTTGGAAATGCATGCTCTATGTGCACGCCAGATACAGGTACAAAAAGTGAGAGAAGCCATAGAAACCTTCCATTTCCCTGATAATATTTCCTAAGTTGTTAAACTTCCATAAGGAGGTATTACTGTCACTAGAAAAAATAAATAAAGCTCTGTGTGTGTGTGTGTGTGTGTGTGTTTTAGTAGTGCCAGGGGAGTGTAAAACCACAGGCTGAAATTCAAATGCCAAAAAAAAAGAAAGAAAAGGAACAGAAGAAAGCAAGCTGCTCTTTGAGGACTGTTTGGATTAAGACCACGGCTGCGGCTCGTCTGCCAACACACCTGGGCAGCCAGGCTCCCAGGGGAGACAGGCTTCAGGATGCTGCTAATGTTTTCTGGTTTTCTTGCTCTGCTCACTGAGAAGGCCCTTGTGGGGCTCCTGGAGACCTAAATGAAACTCAACCAGACCATCTTGTAAATGCCACCGTGGTGTTCCAGAGAAGATCTAAACCCAGGCTCCCTCCAACCCAGGACCTCCCTGGGCACTGTGTGCTCGGAAACCTCACAGGAACCAACAGTTTTGAAAGACCGGGGGGGGACTGTTTGGAGAGACCTGTGCCTTCTGAAACAAAGGTGGCTGAGAGTCAAGGGCTAGCACCACACTGGGGGCAGCAAGCCCCTGGGGCAGAAGGAGAGAAGAAACCAGACTGAATGAAAGACAGCTCCACCCACAGGGTCCTATATTTGATAGATAATTTGAACAACTTCACAAAACAACACTAACACCTTTCATACGCAACATATCCCATGTATTCTACTCTCGGCCAGTCTGTTTCATATTTTAAGGGCTGGTCACCACCATCCACTAATAGGTCATAAGCTCAGATTGAAAAACATAAATGTACCCAACCCTCCAGTGCACAGACGAGGAAACGGAGACTCAGCAAGGTCAAATCCACGGTCCCAAGGCTACATCCCGCCAGAACCAGGATCAGCTCAGACGCAGGGAAATGCCAACTGGACCAGTCTAATCACTCGCACTCAACCCAGTGGAACGCCTCTCTTGGTTTTTTTTGTTTTGTTTTGTTTTTTTCCCAAACACCCAAAGGCCAGGTGCCCTGGTTCCCTGTGAAAGCCAGATGGTTCCATGGCACTATCCACATCACCAAACTGACCCCTGTGTTCCTCCCCTGAGCGGCTTCCTTGCCATAAGCCTCAGCATCCCCAGAGGTGGGTCATGGAGCTGCCGGCCTTGAAGAGCTGAGCTTGCTCACTGGACAGAGGAACCCCGACGGCGAGGCTCCCACCCTGAATCCTGACACATAATTTCCCAAACGCACTGAAGGTGGCCGCCCTGATTGGTAAGACCTGGGGAGGGGGGTCTTCAGCATTTTCAGACAAGGTGAACCAGCACTTAAAATCCACCTTGTAGATTTAAAAGATTATGGGTCCAGCGGCTCTGTTTGCTGACCAGGGTCCACCTAACTTCGTGATGCGCCCAGGGAAGGGGTGAGGGAGGCGCCGAGAGGGAGCAGCAGATGCCAGGCGCCGCCCCCAACCTTCCCTTAACCACGCCCCCAGCCCTAGGGGGACCCTCCCCAACCTGCTTGCCAGGAGGCCTCAGCAGCCCCCAATCTCTGTTGTTCTCATAAAACCAAGAAGATCAAACTCAACTGCCATCAGAAAAGTGTCTGGCCTCTGCTCCAAGATCTGAGGTTCCAAACATGCGTGCCAGGTCTCCACCTTAGGTTCCCCCAGGCAGCTCGGATGACCATGCTAAAGTCACAGTCACGTTAAGTCTTCCATTTAAATTGATGTGGGGTCTTCCCAGTACCTTAGAAGAAAGATCCACTCTCTAGACCATTCGGCCTGTAGGCCAGATCTGGCCAGGCACCTGCTCTTATAAATAAAGTTTTCTTGGAACACAGCCCCGCCCCTTTGCCTGCCTATCTTCCTGGCTCCTTGGCTTCTCCAACACGGAGCTGAGCAACTGCAGGGACTCTGGCCTGCAAAGCGGAAGTACTTACTCTCGGGCCCTCAACGAGTCCTGGACTGTCTGATAGGCTCCTGCTTTTTTCTTTGCTTTTTTAAATCGTAAAATACACATAACATGAAAGTTGCCATTTTAATCATTTTTAAGTGCCCTTTCAGGGGCATGAAGTGCATTCGCATCACTGTGCAAACATCACCACCTGCACCTCCAGAGCTTTCTCCTCCTCCCAAACTGAAACTCTGTACCCGTCAAATAACAGAGAATCTCCCAGCTGCCCTCCCGCCAGCTCCCGGCAACCACTGCACTCCCTCTGTGTCTGTGGATATGAGGACTCTGGGGACCTCCTATCTGTGAATTACACGCTATTGGACCTTCATGTCCAGCTTCTTGCACTTAGCAGACTGAGTGCAAGGTTCTCCCAGGTTGTGGCAGGCATTAGAATTTCCTTCCTACGACTGAATGATATTGCATTTGTAGACCTGTGAATTACGCTGCCATCTGCTAATTCTTGAGCTCCTCTTCAGCACACGGCTCCGGGTGGCCAGGGGCCTTCTGTCAGCTCCCCCAATGCCTCGGGCTTCCCTTCACCCTCAACTGAGATGAGCCTCAGGGGCCAAATTCCCACTGAATTTCAAAGACCCCCGTAGAGAAAAGAAGACTATCTCAGAAATAGTATTTTCCATGGATTCTATGTTGAAATAGTATTTTGACATATTAGGTTAAGTGACGTGTGAAAATCAGTATCACTTCTTTCTTTCTAATGTTCATCGGCACCCAGAAAAAGTAAGGCAAATAACTCGGCTGGCATCCTGTTTTCCAGGGGTGTCCCTGGACTAGATTCTGCAGGGGACAGCAAACTTCTCCCCGAGGGGGCCTGGTGGGAAACAGTTTGCTTTGGGGCTCATATTTTTCTCTGCAGTTGTTACTCGGAAGCAGCCACAGACCATTCATGAAGGCATGAAGCGGGGGTGTGTTCCAATCCACTTTATTTATAAAATCAGGCCACAGGTCAGAATTAGCCCCCAGGCCTCTAGAATACTGATAGCATTTAAAAAAAAAAAAAAGTCAGTTCTAGAAAATCCCACTTTCTGGAACTCTCAGTGAAAAGCCACTTTTGATTCAGCAGGAGCTGGGAAACACAAGTCTTGGGGCCACCAGACAGCCCCTTGCAGCCCAGGCCCCGCCCACGCAGCCCAGGCCCCGCCCATGCAGCCCAGGCCCCGCCCACGCAGTTCAGGTCCCACCTACACAACCCAGGCCACGCCCACGCAGCCCAGGCCCCGCCCACGCAGCCCCTCTGTGGCACTCACTTCGGCGTGTGCGCCTCGTCCACGCGGTGACCCAGCTGGAACTCGTGGGATTTGCTCCTGTGCAGCGCCGTGAACCCCGGGATCAAGTGGATCAGCTTTCGGGAGGAGGGCGGCGGGGTCCCCGGGGGCTTCAGCTTGTTCTTCCTCCTCATGGGCGGCGTGCCTGGCGGGGTCACAGTGGTGACGATATTTGGGGTGCGTGGTGGGGTGCGGACTGCGTGCCGCTGGCGGGGTGAGGGGGGCAGGGAACGGTGGCCCGATTCCAGGGGCGGCGGCGGGCACAAGCCTGGGTAGGCGTCCACGGTGAGCCTGTCCACGTGGGTGTACACGGGGGCCCCCGGCGTGGGGCTGGTGTGACACAAGTGCTGGACACACTTGGACTGGACCCTGGGGCTCTGAGAGAGGTGGGTGCGGATCCACGGGGCGGGCTCCGGAGGGCACACGGGATTGTTCTCCTTGCCCGTCTCTGGGGTGGGCCACTGGATGATCCAGTCCTGCTTTGAAAGGTTGCCTCCTGGGTGGAACAAAGGAGCAGAGAGACCGAGGGTCAGCCAGGGGAAAGCCCGTGAGTTCCCGGGATGCGCCATGACGTCACATGCACGTCACCTCACATGCACATTACATCACGTGGGCCAGCGGGCCACGCGACAGCATGTGCACCTCCCATGTCTAGTTCCATCATAGGCAAGTCACGCCCTCGCAAATCACATCGTGTGCATGTTCCGTAGTAGGGACATTACACACTATATATGTGATATCGTCTGCATAGGGTGTGATATGCTCATTATGTCATACACATGTTACATCATAAGCACATTTACAAAATCCAGCCAAACCCACTTGGCCCCTCCAAGAAGTGAATGAAGCCCCCTTGTTGATCTTACCACCCCCATTCAATATCCTCCTCTTCCAAGGTTTCCCAGCACTGGGAAACTGGGAAACCGGGTTCATAGCTCAAAGGCCCAGAAAGGCACATAAGTTCATCCCTGCCTGTTGAGCCGCAGTGTCAAGGTGACTGAAAGGATTTTTGAAGATAACTTTACCTTCAGTGGCAATTTTAACACCTAACCCCAGCCAGAGATACATGAATCTTCCTTCCCTGACGGCTTTCTTCCCAATGCACCCTCACTTGGGACCTATGTTTCTGAGCACTCATTTGAGCATCTGTCCAACAAACATTCTCCAAATGCCGATGATATGCCAAGTACCACGCTTGGAAAAGGCATGACAGGAAGACATAGCCCTGGTCCCCTGGGCTTCTATTCTGCAGAAGCAGAGATCGGACACACCAACAGACCTGCTCACTGGAGCATTTCACGTGGTTATAGCTCTGGCAGGGAAATAAAAGGAATGCTGTGATAAACCGAGTTTGGTGACAGTGAATGGATAACCAACCAACTGTGGTCCAGACACACCATGGAATACTACTCAGCCATAAAAAGGAACCTGAGGATTGAACTAAATGAAAAAGGCTAATCCCAGAAGGTTGCCACACTGCCTGACCACTTAACATAGCATTTTTGAAATGACAACATTTTAGAAGCAGAGTAGATTGCTAGTTGCCAGGGGTTAGGGATGGGGAATAGGAAGAAATGGATGTGGTTGTGGGAAAAGCAGCAACAGAGATGTGCAGAACCCAGCATTTTCTACTATGGGGCTGGATACCTGAATCCACCCAGTGATTACATAGAAGAATCTACCCAGTGATTACATAGAAGAAAATACACACAGAGAGATTGCAAGTAAAACTAAGGAAATCTGAACAAGATCAGTGGATTGCATGGAAATCAATATCCTGGTTACATTAGAGTCTTACAAAATGTTACCGTTGAGAGAAACTAAACAAAGTGTATCAGGGATCCCTTTGTTATTTCTAGCAACTGTGGTGAGTCTAAACAGTTTCTCAATTTAAAAATTCTATTAAGAAATTAAAAATGGGGCCCTGCGTGGTGGCACAGCCTGTGATCCCAGTGACTCAGGAGGCTGAGGCAGGAGGATGGCGCGTTCAAAGCCGGCCTCCACGAAAGCAAGGCACTAAGCAACTCCGTGAGACCCTGTCTCTTAAATAAAATATAACATGGGCTGAGGATGAGGCTCAGGGGTCAAGTTCAATCCCTGGTACCAAAAAAAAAAAAAAAAAGAAAGAAATTAAAAAATGGAGGTGGGTCTGGGAATGCCATCTAACAAAGTGGCATCTTTAGGACAAGAAGGGGATGGCCATGTCAGCAGGCAGGGGCAGGCACACCAGCGGGTACAAAGGCCTGGCGGTAGGAAGGCTTGCTGTTGTGGTGGTTGTTTTAAGACTTCTGAAGGTTTATTAGAAGGATGGAGACTTTTCAAAAGAATCCCACTGTAATGAGCACAGATTGAGGTTTCCAGCCTCATATCAGGTAACTAAGAAAAAAAAAATCCAATAGCATATGAACATTTTTCACTCATTTACCTTAGTGATGGTACACCTGCAAGTTTGTTCTAAAGATTCAGACTCTCAGGCAGCAAATATACAGCCTTTCTTCATCCTCCACGCCGAGATATAAACGTGTCAGGGTCAAAGAGCACCAAAGTACAGGCTTCAAAACCACGTCAGTGCCGGGTGCCGTGGTTCAGACCTGTAACCCCAGCAGCTCAGGAGGCTGAGGCAGGAGGATCTCGGGTTTGAGGACAGTCTCAGCAACTTAGTGAGACTGTAAGCAACCTAGTGAGACCCTGTCTCAAAAGATAAAACAGAAAGGGCTGGGGACGTGTCTCAGTAGGTGGTTTTTCTCAGGGTGTGACCACAGTGTGACTACTGGCCCCACAAAAGGCTGAAGGAACCCGTGACAGATAGGCCCCACCAGCCCAGGGACAAAGGCACCCTCCTCCATGAGCCCCATGGAAAGTCTGGGGAGTTGGAGGAGGCATGACCCATGACCCAGTTAGATTCATTTCTCAAAGATCACTGGGGTCACTGCATGGAGAAGGGGGTCCGATAAAAGGGTTTTGCACAGACATCGTAACCAATGATGTTGGCTCTGAAATTGGTGGCAGCAAAGCCACCGTGAAGTGGGCACCTCTGGAGGACAAACACCGGGTGTTCTCACTCGTTCACAGAAGCCCAGAAGTTGGTCTTGGAGAAGAAGAAAGGAGAGGAGGTGGGGGCTGGTGGGCCGGACAGGACCGCAGCGGGCGGGGGGAAGGGTTTCCGTGGCTCAGCAGCGCAGCCGGGTAACTCGGGTTGACAACTACTAATTGCATACTTCAAAATAGCTCATGGAGGGGATTTCGAAGGTTCCCAGCACGAAGAGATGATAAATGTTTAAGGCGATGGATGGGCTGGATACTCGGCTCTAATCAGGACACATTATGTGTACACCACATGTACGATGACGACGATGTGTCAATTAAAAAACTTCATCATGAAGCAAATGATTTTTTTTAAAAGAAGGGGTTGGGGGACAGGCTGGTGGGGACGGAGGAACAGGACCCGGGAAGGGAACGGCCGGGGGTCTCCAGGATGGGCCAGCGGAGGAGATGTGGAGCAGGGAAAGATTCCAACGCGGAGCCCCTCAGCAGTGGTGACAATCGCTATGACAACGTGACAGGAGCCCCCGTACAGCTCGCCTGACCGTTTACAATGCACTTTCACGGCCACAGACTCTCTGCCCCGATTTAAATTAAAACAACTCACTTTGTGATCACATCTGCATCACCAAAAACAATCCAAAATTCATATAACAAGAAAAGGCCATGTCATTCCACAGCCATGGTCCCTGTCCGGCTGCCGAGTTCCCCAGACGGCTTTCTGTGCCTCTTTCTTTAAGAAAAATTAAAAATAAATAAATAAAAATCACAAGACAGATCCATGGGTCGTCGTCTGCTCTCTTCCCATTTTAATGGGGCTGTTGTTTTTTGGTTTTTTTAATCTGAGTTTTTTGTAACTCTGGGCACAAAGGGCCAAAGCTGAGCTCCGTTTTGGAGATAAGGATACTGAGGTCAACAAAGATGCCGAGACGAAAACGGCCCAAGGTCACGGCAGTGTGGTAACCGGCTGTCAGAATCTGAACCCGGGACCTCAGCCACCTGACGACCAGGGCTGTCACACAGGGGCAACCACACGGACCAACAGAGGTCAATCAGATGGGAAGGGACGCTGGAACAAGGGCTCGTTCCTCACCAAGACCCTCCACTCCCCCGTCCAGACTTGCCAGAACATTCTACCTAAGGCCCCCCTCGGTGAGCTCTGCTCTCCAATAGGTATGCACACTCCTTAGCCCAGTGACCAAGAGCCAGCTCTGAACTTGGGTGACTTGGGCTTCAAGTCTGGCCGGTCCCACTTACTGGCTGTGGGACCACGGACACTCCCCTACCCTCTCTGAATCTTGGTTTTATCACCTGAGAAGCAGGGGACAAAACCTTGGGGACTATGATGACAATAAATGGAAGAGCACAAGCTACGTGCTTAGCCCAGCCCTTGTCACGGTGGTGGCCCTGTCACTGTTAGGCTAATAAACTTTGCGAGCCAGGGACGGGACAGAGACTCAGGCCCACGCGGCTTCCCCATCCCCCAGAGAGGTCTGGATTGATGTATTTGCTCAGGATGTACAAACGCGCTGTCAGATTAGCCTTCGTGAAACATGTTTAAGGAAGGTTTTTTTTTTTTTTTAAACCACCTTACACTTCTACTTCAAGGCAAGACCACTCTGCATGTTGTCCCTCTGTCTGTCACCCTCCCTGAGTGAAATGGAAAGAATCTGGAACTGGGACCCAGCTGGGATCCACCACTAACCAGCTCTGTGACCTTAGGCAAGTTCCTTAACCTCTCTGAGTCTTGGTTTGAGGGTTCATAACAGAGGAATGTTCATGGCTTCCTTGGAGGGTGCAGAGAGGACTAAATGCAGTCACCCAATCTGTCCACTTATTTCGTGACTATTTGGAGTCTCTCAGGCATTTATCCTAGGCACACAAAGCCACCAAGGAAAATCCCTGTCCTTATGGAGCTCAAGATCTTAGTGTGGAAACAGAGAAGAGGGGGGGTAGACGCTGCTGTGCAGGATTGGTGATGGGTTGTATGTAGTAGGTCAGGGATAATAAGTGCTATGGAGGGGCGGTTCACCGGGAAACAGAAACTTGCTTGGGGCTACTGCAATCAGAAAAGGATGAGGAGGTCACAGGGGACTGTTGAGCAAATATCAGAGCAAAGCCAGGAGCAAGTCATGAGATCAAATGAGTGAAACCCCAGCCCGGGCCACCCCAGTGGTACAGACCAACGGACAGATGCCTGAGCACCTTCAGAAACATCTTCTCAGTGCTCGTGACTCCGCCCACCTGTCCCCAGGCTGTGCCAGCACCTGTGTTTGCACACCTGTCTGTCTTCTCCTGCTCTCAAAAGGCTCAGGGTCCAACCAGAAAGATCTACAAGCAAACAGGCTCTCGCCGCGGAGCGATGGAATCCCTGGGGCAGAGCCCAAAGACCTACGAGCAGGGATTCCAAGGCTGAAGAGCGAAGAGCGGGGATGCAGACTGCGGTACGCCCAT